GCTTGTGGGACCCATTAGTCATGATTTACTGTTTGCAGCCAAGAGAAGCCACAGCAAACTGTGTGACGTGAGCTGCTGCTTCCAGTGGCCCCCCTTGGCTACAAACGGCAAACCATGGCCAATGGGCGCCACAAGGCTCTGCAGCGCCATTAAGTAAACAAACCCGAGCAGCCCATTAGCTCTCTCAAAGTAGGGCCATTGTCCACTTTGGGAAACTACTTTAAAACAGCACATGCATCTGCCGAAGTGAGTCTTTGCCCACAACAGCTTATGCGCCAACACTTCAGTTAGTCTATAAGGTGCCACAGGACTCCTCGCCGCTTTTACTTTAAAACACCATCAGCAAATACATTTCTGGAATGGTTCACACTTTGCTCTGAAGTTTATTATAGTTGGCATTATGGAGAGATGATTGCTGGATGCCCATATTGTAGCCACCTTCTCTTCTTCAGCAGTTAAGGTCTGATTGTGGTACAGAGAATATCTACAAGAAAATGAGCTAGAACTAGTGCCTGTCCCATTCATTTTTTTAATGCCTGTAATTTTAACTTCAGCATTCCATATTTCTCTTAAGCTTTCACTCTGTTCCTTCCAAATTTTAACACCATCAGAAATATAACAGCTATTTCTCTGCATTTGTGTCCCAGGCCACAGAAATAGGCTTCAGGGTAGTCAGCTTTTCTCTTAAGCCCCATGTTGAGAACTTTGGCTGTGACGTGCCATCTTTTTCACAATTTTGTTCACAAACTGTCATGAGATTAGGCCACTCCTTGTATAGTGCTCAAAACTATCCACTGCTGAGTTCCATTGCACGTCTTGTGGGAGTATTAACTTGGTTCCTCCCACTTGTTCCAGAACAGCTACTGCCAAGAGGTTGAAATGGCAAAATACTTCCATAACAACATTAGCCTTTATTTCTGAAACACTGATGTCTTTCGCTACAAGGTGCATCAAGGGAGTACTGTAACTATGTTATTAGCTGGGGACTATCTTGACTCCCGTAAATTTCTTCTCACCATGGTTACATCGGCAGCATTGTCTGACCAAGCTAGAAACTAGACAACTGAATTTCTCAGAGCTTTCACTGCTACTTTTTCCTAAGTATTCTGCTGTTGTGTACATTTCCTGATATATCAATTGTTTCTACAAGGAAGACATTCCCTTCTGTTGTCACACAAGCACATACAATGGGATAACTGTGGACAATGCTTCACACATCAATACTCAAGTTAACAATTTTACTCTAGACTTTTTGTACACTGCTCCATTTTTTTCCATAAACTTTATCCAGCAATTTGCTTGTGGTATCTACTTTGGTGGGTGGACTGCATCTTGGTCTTAGTGACTGAACCATGTTAATGAAGTGCAGGTTGTCAATCACACAGAAAGGAGAGTTTGTTGCATAAATAAATGGGGCAATTTTTTAATCAATTACCTCATTGTGTAATCAGCTGGTTCCTATCACATCATCTATGGTAGGTTTTTTTTTTTAATACGTTTTTTGTTTTACAGGTGATTGTGGCTATGTGGCATACATAATGTGACTGAAACCCTATCATTGGCAGATAACTCAAACGATATACGATGATGGTGATCTTGAAGGTGGATACTCTTCAGAATCCTGTATGTTGAGGATGGATTCTCCTAAACAAAATAAGTTTAATGAAATTATTTAGTTACCATATTGTTAATTTATTACTCACTGCATTCATTGACAAGCAATACTAATTAAAAGGTGAAATTGTAAAAAGGAAGAAATGCCTGCTTCACCTATTTCTTTTTAATCACAATTGTATCAAAAATGAGAGCAACAATTATATTTTTTAATCAACCATAAGTAGTCAAGACTAGTCCAGAAGGAAGGCAGGCAGTCCTTAAAAAGAGAATGAAATAAAAAGTTTACCAACCTGAACATGCTGCATGTTCAGACATGTTCCTTTCACCATCTTCAACGCAGCTTTCTCCTGAGAAGGAACACTTCTCATTCATGATGTTGTTTCATTCAGGCCACCAGGCCTTGCCTTTCTTTGTTGAACTGTTTGCATTTTGCATGCATGCCTGTCTTAACCACAGGTAGAGGAGCTTCATTAAAATATTCCAAAACTGGGCCTCTTAAGGCCAGCTGCCATTATAGGTTTTCCCTTCTAGTGAGAGAATGGTACAGTAGATCTCAAATCAATGAAGGATACCTTCAGGAAGGCTTTGAGACTTCTGGAATATGCTACTTAGTTTCACTTTTGTTTCTACTGCCTGTCCTTCCCTTCTCACATTGATCTCTAGACTTCTTCCCCTGTCCCTCTACTATTCCATCCCCAACAATCTTCTATTTATTGAACTGATTGAAATTTCGCACTTTTAGAGAGAAGGATTTGATACCCTACACAAATCTGCAGAAGGACAATAGGGTTGAGATCTAATATTTCTCACCTCTATATAGTATTTATGTATTTCAAAATATTTTTGCTGTTAACAAGCAGGCTCTCTGGAGACACAATCCAGTTAGAGAACTGCAAAACTAAGCATCTCTGATGGTATCTTCTAGACCAGGGTTGGGCAATAATTTTTGACCAGGGGCCAGTTCAGAAATTTCTGAAGTCACCCTAGGCCCCCCCAGAATGGCCAGGCCATCACCCTACCCCAGCCTGGCCCAGGACTCTGGCCCCAGACTCTTGCTGTTGTATGAAGGGTGCTGCAGGGCTCCAGCCCAGCATTTCTGGAGGCTGCCAGGGGACATCAGCCCAAAGTCCTGTATTGCCTGCAGCTGAGTGAAGACCCTGTTTTTCCCCTGTTCCTTCCTCCCTAGGCTCCCGGGCAATCTGGTCCAGCAATTTGCAGGACCACAGATGTTGCCAGACCAGAGAATGTTGTTTTTTAGAGGTACAATCTGTACCATGAGACCAGGCTGGGATACATTTAGTCATGGACATCAGTAGATGTCTGATCACAAGACTGTCAGGGGAACTATCTGACTATACTAACAAGCTTGAGATAAAAGGATTAATAGCCTCTGTGAGAAGGGCACAACATTAGAATGGGGAGGACCAGAAAAGAAGGAGAGGGGGCCAACACCATTCCTGAATATGCACTGGCATAGTGGTGTTGGCATAACACAAGTTGTACCTCAGCTTTTACGGATTGAGAGATGCCAGGATGTCATCATGGGGTGAGGACCACGTGGAGTAAGATGACTAACACTTGAGGCTGTTTTGCAAAGGATGGTGGGAGTCTATGGATGCTCAGCTCCTGTATTCTCTCTAGTGGCCTCACAGGGCTAGAGGGCTTGTGGCTCTGCAAACTGTATCAACTATACAAACGAGAAAGTTTGTCTATTTGTTCAAGAACTCCTATACGGTAAGAGCTAGGACCACCAAATTCAGTATTCAGCTTCCTCTTATCATAATGTAAAGCAAGGTCAGGGTTTGGTTGTGCCAAGACAATGGGATGTGCGTGGAATGGGATTGCTTCTCAAAACCATACCTAGTGATTCTGTTTGATAAGTGAAAGAGGATGGCTGAGGGCTCACCAGGAACTGCTCCAGCCCCACGCCTCCCACCTTCTATGTGTCTCTTAGGAAGGATGGGAGAGCTGAAGCTCCTCACCCTGATTCACACATGAATATTGCTGGTTGTTCCCATTCTTCAGGGAGTGAGGGGAAGTGGCACCTTCCTCCCTCTGACTGGGGAACGCAGATGGTAGATGAATGTGGACCTATCCCAGCTGGGGTTCATGCACCCCTTCCTCTGCAGTGCCATTGAGAGGTGCTTCTCACCTGGCCCCGAGCTGCTCTGTGACAGGGGGCTGGGGTAGTCCTCTCCCCAAGGCAAGCCTGCAAACTGAACCCCTCATCTCCAGTCCCACCCAAGAACAATGATTTACAATGAAAATGTCCATGCTTCTTTTATTTTATAAAAAGCAAAACTGAGTTAAGGACCTAAACAATGCCTGGTAAATCTTCAGAAAACTCACCATCTGTGGTGGGTTTTACCCACAAAAATATATAGAATCATGAGCTTTTGTAAGTCTCTAAAGTGCCACAGGACTACTCGTTTTTAAGGTTACGAACTAACACGGCTACCCCTCTGAGACTGTATTTATAGTCTCTTGAAGTGTTGCAACTGAGGTTCCTAAAGCAGGAACTGATAGTACTGGGCCTAAACCAGGGACTGGAAGCTAACAAATTCTAATGTGGTAACTGGGGAAAAACAAATTAATCTAATCAATAGATCAGGCAACAATTCACTTTGATTGTCTTCTGAATGGCTCAGTCCTTCTGCATTCAGCTTGTCCTTCCCAATGGCTTCTCTTTCATATCCAGTTTGCAATCTCCAACTTGAAGTGATGCTTAAATGACAGGTCTGATTTCTCTTCCCGTCAGGCCGTCTGGATTCTGCGTTTCCCCAGCTAGTGACACTGACCACCATGGAAAGGTCAGGAACCCAGGTCCTTACAGTCAAATACGTGGAGGGATCCAATAAGGAAAACTGCTCAGCCCTCCCTTTTGTGATGGTGCAGAAAGACAGGATAACCTGGGGCTGGAGAAAACCTTTGCACTCCAGTCTATCTCCTAGACCAATGGTCACCAGCCAGTCGATCGGGATCTACAGGTAGATCTTGGGAGCCCGACAGGTGATCCTGACTGGTTGGCCAAGAGGCTTCCAAGTGCCTGCACTTCAGCTGCCCCTCCCACCACCGCTGTGTATCTCCTGCCTTTTGCCTTGGCGCTCCCTCCCGCCCTGCCCAGAAGCCTCCTACTTGTGGTGCAGGTACAGAGCAGGGATGGGGGTGCTGATGTCAGGGTGCCCCCTCTTCCACCTTGTATTCTATCTCCACAGAATAGAGGAGGGGAATAGTAAGAGGCAACTCAAGCTAGCAATTAGAGATTGTTATGAACCAAGATGTTAAATAAGAAAACTCTCAATTTTAAAGTGTTCAAAATTCAAAGCCAATTCATCCCTTCTATACAAGTATTATGGGATTACTTGGCAATTTACCTTATTCATCTTTATCTGTTCTCATCTCTGTTTTTGCTTTAGAGCCAAATCTTTCCATAATTGCAAGTCCAGTCTTCATTTTTTTCCATATCTGTAAAACTTGAGATCCTTTTTAAAGGATCCTTGAAACCATGAAAATATTTCACTAGCAAATATCCACACTTCGTCATGTCTAGATAATTTCTCAATAACTGATAAATATGTTCTATTAGGTACCTGAGCCCCCTGAACCTAAACTCCCTCCCAAAGCCTGCACCATGAACCCCTTCTTGCACCCCAACTCCCCAGCCCAGCTCAGAGCTCCTGACGTATTCCAAATCCCTTAGCCCAAGACCCCAACCCTCTGCCCGGTGAAAGGAAGGGAGAATGGGGGAGGGAAGAAGGATGGAGTGAGCAGGGAGGGGCCTCAGAGAAGGAGCAAGAAGGAAGCAGGGCAAGTGTATTTGGGTTTGAGATAGATCTTGGATTGCACTAAA